CTGAAAAGATCAGCTAATCTGGAGAGATTATGGAAGTATCTCGTCTTGAAAATACTGGTGAATAAAGTTTTACAAATCGGACAGGCTACAGTTGTGCTTTTAAAAATGAGCTCTTCTGTCCTATTAAGGCTATCAGAATACAGCACAGTAACTTTCAATGCTGAAAAATGAAAGTGTCTAGGATTAGTTTTATTTTAAGCACCGCATTTACAGTAATATTCTTCTTATCTACACGACATTAAATTTGGAACTTACATCAAAAAGTACGTACAATGATCACACAATAATAATAAAACAGTTCATTCTCACAAAAAGCCCAACTGAAATGTCAAGACCTGTTAAAATTATCTTTATGGAAGTGAAGCATAGTCTCAGACACAAGATGCATTACAGTAAACACCATAATTATAAGCTTTTTTTAACAACGTACAGTTGGATCTAGAGGAGAGGTCTGAAACAAAACCAAACCCTTTAACTGGAGGATGACCCCTGAAATCTCATTCAACAACTTAGTAACACTAAGAGAATGGCCACCTCAGCAGGTTCACACCATGACTGAGAGAAGCAGAAGTGCAGTGGCACAGTTCAGACACAGCTTTTCTGGACCACACTGGTGCCAGAACCACAAGTGCTACAATACACAAAGACAGAATGGCCATGAGGTTGATCTTACCAGCTTAGGCCCACTATCCTGTGAGAGCTACATTTCAGCCAAGCTGTAAAGTCACACTGCAGTCTACTTCTTGGATTTATTATCAACTATGACATTAGACAGCAAGAATTTATCAACGTCTCAGTTTCCATTTGGCCTTCCTGTATCATGCACACCACTGCCTCAAATTCTATTAAGTAGCTCATGTTAAAAGAGAACTAGCTACTACTAGAAATATTAAATCTAGAAACCTAGCTACTACTAGAAATATTAAATATTGCCACTTTCAGATTAAAATAAACAGATTTTAATCAACCAATATCCAAAGGCAGTTTATATTAAGAAATCGTTTACAGCATCACACCAGTAAACAATGACTGACTTGGGCACATTTGACCTGTGACAAAACCATAAGTCTTCTCGAACTATGAAATTTGTTGGAGAAATCTTATCACCTTGCTTGCTGACACAAAGATTCAAAAGCAACCACTTCAACACTTTTTTCCTTAATCTCAAAATGGCCTTTTTCTTCAAGGAAAAAGGAGCAGCATATCTTGCTTGCTGAGCTGTAATTTTAAGGGCTGTGAAGGAGCAGAGTTCTTATTTCCCACGTCCACATCCTAGACAAGAGTTATCCATTCATTACTACTATCATTCAGTTACCGAGCTGCAGTATTACTATTTGTCAGCATAAACAACTAGCATATTACATACCAAGATTCACATCAGGCAACATTTTATCAAGAAACTGAGTCTCTCCTCCATTAGGGGACAGGAAGTCAGCTAAAAGTTGGCTGTTACTTAGTTCTGGATGTTGCAGAAGTTTCTTTGAGCCAGAAGGAAAGAAAGAAACGTAAGTACTTTAAAACTCATCTTTAAAAATCAGTTTCTCTATAGCTAAAAGACATTCAAAGAGCAGTATATTACCATAGATATTGTCATTTGCAAATATTTCTGTTCTCAGTCACATGAAACTTTCTTTTATTTGCCCACTGGAACCCCTTCTATAACTCATGTTACTTTGAAACAAAAAAAATAGCAGATAGACTTTTATTACTTTTATATCATTAGTTTTAGAATATTCTTTGCTCCAAAATTTTGTTTGATACCTGCAGATATTCCTGAAACTCTTCTCTCTTGGATTTTAAGAACTCGTAGTTCTTGGGGCCAATGATTCTCTTTGAGGGAAGCTGAGCATCAGGAAACGTACCTAATAAATATATTACAGAAATAATTTAATCTCCTTAATGTAGCAAACGTTGATTTCATTATTTTAAATTTCAGCTCAGCACTGAATGATAATCACAGCAGTGGAAAGTGGCTTTCCAGATGATGGAGAACATACCGTGAAATTCTGTTAGCTTTGACTCAAGCACATAAAATTCAAGATATCTCCTGTAGACAGACCAGTGTTCAGGTTCATGCCCAACTGAGGGAGAGAAAAAACCACAATGTTAAAAATAAAACACTGAGAGACGAATTAACCAACAGCAAACATACGCTAATTACAGGAAAAATCTCAATTATATTACTCCTCCATATTGCAGTAACATTAAAAAAAAAATCCTAGCCAAGCAATTTAAGTGTTAAATTAAACAGCATACCTGGCAGACAGATATGGTACTAGCATACAAATTATAATCTCATTTGAGGGATCTTTAAAATCCAAAAAATGGAGCACTGCATAACTTCAAAATTTATAAGGGCTGACTATGTTAGATCTACTTTCAAACTTTTAACCAAATGATTTACAGAAATAATACTTGTTGAACACAGTCCTCTGCACCATCAGCTTGAATCTTGATCGTTCTTCCTCCTGGAAGATACCCCTAAATAACTCTTAAACACTTCCGTCTTATTGTGAAGTATTAGTTTGACTAACACAAATCTATGCAGCCCCAGGATGATGCTATTTTCCCTACTCAGGATGGATGTATATTGCTCTCTAGATACTGATAAACTACCTGCAAGCCACGGTGATTCCTAGTGAGCAAACCATTTTCATTTTCTAAGAACTATATTTTAAGGTTACACAAAAAGTTACTTATTGTTCATTATTCCAAAGTTCAGAGTGGTTGAAAAAAAATATGCCATGTGTTTATTACTAGGAATAGTAGGATCAATCTTTTTGGAAAGAGAAATTTGACATGAAGTCTAAATGGAACTGATTCATGCTAAGGAGTCAGTTCTCAACTTGCAAATACTAAATGTGATCATTTGGCTCTCAGACACGTTTCCTCAGAATTTTCAAGTCATTATTTCAAAATCAAAAGAACACGTATACAAAATACACTGCAATAGCCATCAGAATACAGCACACAAGAATATTTTTAAGCGACATTGCATACCTGCCCTTCTATCATTTCTTTCTACATCAATGCAGAACACAGGAATTCTCTCCTTTCTGTCTTTTCTTTCCAAGGATGGATCATCAAAAAAATCTACATATGGGATGCTAATTTTCCATGCAGCAAGGTTGCGGGGTGTATTTGGGGTACTAACAGCCTCCTCAGGAGAATCATCTTCCATCACCATAACGCCTTCTTCAATCTGTAAAGATTCAAACATCAAGATCTACAGTTCCATTTTAATTGGTTTAGTCTACCTCTGCAAAATTTATCTACATTAATGAAACATATACTGAGTTTTTAAGTATGTGTCACTAAGTAACAAAAGAACAAAAAAAAAACATTTCATTAATGGAGTTTCCATGTAGATGAATTTCTATTTTCACATTCACTGCAAATTAATTTGACGATGTGTCACTAAGTAACAAAAGAACAAAAAAACCCATTTCATTAATGGAGTTTTCATGTAGATGAATTTCTATTTTTACATTCACTGCAAATTAATTTGACATTAGCAACTTTTAGTGAGATCTGGAGGTTTTTATTGCACTATCGAGTTCTCTATCTGATACTTCAGGGAAAAAACAAATGAGGAGGGGAACAGAGGTACTGAAGGAGACAGCTGGAAGAACGCCTTAGACACAGACTGAATGCTACAGGAAACAGCTTGGGTCTAGCAGATTTAGCTGCTCTGCATTTTCCAGCGTACTAGGACCTAAACTGAAGACTTGAGCTTACCAGGTCAGGTCAAGAAGCTATCTTAAACACAAGAGCCAGAAGCCAACAATGCACCAAGCTTGAAGGTCTCCCACCCCCACAGCCAAGCGCAACGGCCTATGTTGTAGACACGTGAATCTGACTTGCTCTGCAAGGTGCAGCACAACCACGACTGGGATTGAATTCTTCCCGCAGCCCTGAGCTATTCTGAGCACAGCCATCGTTAAGTGTTACCGCACTCCCCATCAGCTCCAGTTTCAGCATCACGCTGCCAGAAATCGATGCACCAGGGAGCAGCACGGACCTAATCCTCTCTGCCTGCGCTGGGGGCAGCTCCAGTGCATGGAGTTCATAAACTCAGACTCCATGCCATAAAACATAACACTGATTTTTCCATAGCAAGCAGACCTTAGAAACGGTGCCACACGAACACCGATGAAATCCCTTTGAACTTAACCGCGGTCCCAGCACCACACTGACATTCACTCTATGCTTCTGGCACTGCTCATCACAGACAGGCTGAGCTGCCCACAGGTAATCAATCACCCCAGTACCACACAGCGCACCGAATCCTCAGGTCAGTCCCTGGCAATAACAAAGGAAGTGCTACAAATCTTCTAGGACCATGAAAAACAGAAAGATTATCTTAAATATCTAAACTGAAAAATCCAAGCTTCAACAGCAACTCATTTATTTATTTCTTCAAACAATGCTCAATCCAATTCTCATCTTTACCACATAGAAAAAAGAAGAATATAAAAATGACCCAAAGGAATGAAAATTATTTTTGCAAATGACGAGACCATGTCTGTGAGAAGGAAGGGTAGGGTTGGCCTTAGACCCAAAAATAAAGCAGAATGAAGAATTTCTGGAGAGATTAGCTCTCACTAAAGATGTGCTGAAGAAAAGTTCTTGTATTTCCACAAGTGTAGGCAAACAGGCGAAAAAAGAGTAGTCCTATTTCCCTAAAAACCTGAAATTGTTTGAATCTAATTTAACCTGCTGCCGTGCTGCAAGGGCTTCCAAAACACTGCAACCCTGCAGGAAGGCAGGCGCTGCCTGGTGAGGAGCAATGCCCAAGCCCAGCATTCTGCTTCCAGCCTGCGCCTATCGCAGTGGCGGTCAGCACGTCGCTCTTCCCAGCACAATTCACAAAAACTATTACTTACGTTGAGAGAGGTTAGAGTTAAGCAACAATTCAAAAGTTCATTATTTTAGGAAGCCTCACGTAGAGATTTGGAAGTACTGTCACTTGTTAAAAGTCAAAATACGAGATTTTTAACATACGAGCTTACAGCATGTGAAACTACAGCAAACTGGAAAGCATGAATCCTGCTTTCAAGTTCTTCTCCCTTACCTTCATAATTGGAAGCCAAATTCCCCTCAAAGGCCAAGCCTAGGTGGTGTAACAAGTTTTGCCGGTATTACGATAATCTAATTAACAGATTAAGGCAATACAGCACCCCTGAAATAATTCTGGCTGTGTCTGCTACAATATTCACACGATCATGACTCAGCTGCAACTGAAACATAAATGGTTCAACACACGTGAGCAATCTTTGTTCAGTTTTGTTTTGCCTTTGCATAGTACCGAAATGATCCTCAAATTGCTTACAGTGTGAGCTGTTGTCTTCCAAAACAGATCTCCGCAGATCCACTGACCAAATCTCTTCAAAACACCTTTTGCTTCCACTTACCTGGTTTATTCAATGAAAAGAGAAACTATGACAGGCAAAGAGCAGTCTCAGTTGTCGCTGCACAGAGATGATGCTCAGCTAAGCTGGTCAACAATTTGAGAGCTAAATGACAGGTCGTGCTCTTTCACAAAGCAAACAAAAGTAATCCCAACCTGGAATGAACAATTAGGGCTCACGAACTGCAGGACAAACTTGCACCGAAGAATGGAATAAATAGGACAGATGCTCTCTGAACCACAACAACAGAGTTGTCAGGTAGCTTTACATCTAACACAAAGTCTTCTGTATGAGGTCTTACTCTCATTTTCCCCCTTCCCCAGGCTTTACGTAGTTGTCACCACTGGACAGAAACAGCAAAACAACATTTCAGGATAGCAACTCCAAGTCAACAACAGCTGAGTTTCTGCAGATGGGGCAGCATGAACTGGGTGCAACCTGCACTCACTCCCTCACCCTGTGAGGGCTGCCAAAATTAACACTGCACAATTTATCCTGACTAATGGTGTATATTTGCATTTGCACTAACGAGAATCTCCACTAGAACCTCCTTGCAAAAATGCAAGATCATTCTAGAAAACACTTGAACTTATTTCATTCCGTAGTTTTTGACTAAGCTAAATGCATAGGCTTGGACTTGATCAAAACTCAACTCTTGCCTACACTTTCTGATTCCTTTTTTTTTTTTTAAATTTACCACTGCTTGCAGCTCTCATCTCCTGCCATTTATTTAGTTTCATACGCTGCAGAGTTCGCACAAGACTCAGAGCAGGTACGGCTCAGTCGTTTCCTGAACTGCTCATAAAGGGGCCATAACCTCTCCACTCAGCCCGTCTGAAGCTGTATTGGACCAGCAGCAAAGTTCCACCCGCTCTAACCTCTGTTCACCAGATCCCTCATCCTATGTAGGTTTTTCCACAACTGGAACTACAGCACCTACATTAACTGTAAGCCAGGAAGCATGAATTTCTGGGGGTTTTAATCCTCTTTCTAAACAGATCACCAAACTGTAACAGTTATAGGTTGCCTCAGTCTCTTTGTATTTGTTTTATCCAACAAAGCCACAAATTCAGGTCTAGAGGTCTTCTAGCTGCCTTGGGAACAATGTTTGTGCTTTAATACGCAGAGTATCTTTTGCTATATTTAAAATTTAGCTGACAAAGACTGAGTGTGTTTCATGGAGTTGTTAGTGGTTTACAAAGCTGCTGCCCAGAGCCACAGAAAACTGCTAACATAAATTTCTATCCTTACGTGATTTCCTTAGACGAAATGGATGTTTCCTATAGGCTTTAACTGCAACCAACATGACTTTGACAAAAAAAAACATAGAAAAAAGAGCAAAAGACAGAACGCACAATGTGTCACAATGCACAGAACTCCATTTCACTGCCATCCCCTACCTTATATTTACCTCCAATCCACCAAGCTTACATTAACACCAATTAGTTAAATACCTACTCAGGATCTGTCAAAGAGGAAAGAACTCTCATATACTCCATACAAAAGCTAATAAAAACGATGCTAAGTGTGTATAGTGCACTGTCACCATCTTACAATTATACTGCTGTTTTCCAGATCACATTTTTCTTGTCCCAGAGAGCTCCTCCTCTCACTCTTTCATGCTTGCTAGGAAACTACACCTCAGCACTTACTGTGACATTTTTAGTGTTGTATTCTGCATTCTCGGTATTCATGAAGTCATGGCTCTGTCCAGCTGTTTGGATGCACAGTAACCTTACAACAGTTTAGTCTTCTTTTCCCATTTCTTCTTCCCATCCACATTTACCAATGAACAGACTTAGGTATTTCCCAAACTTTGTCTAAGGTGGTTTTAGTAAAAATACAGTATCATCTCTTTATTTAATGAAGGTATTTGAGATGACGCTGCACTTAAAACTTTCCATTCCTGCCTAAGCTAAAATCATTCTATCCACTTGAAAGCCTTTCTTAGTAAGGATTAGATGCTATATTGTCTCCCTCTCACTGAATTCAGCAACTTCTCCCAGGTAGCTTCTTGTGCTCTGGCACAAAACCATGTTCCTTCTCTGAGCTCCGCTGCTTCTATTATACTTCTACTAATTCCTCTGCTACAGAGGAATTAAACTTCCACGCCCTTTGGCTAGCAGAATCTAAAACAGCAATGCTGCAAAATTAACCCACTGTCATTAGAATCTCGCCTCAAAAAGCGAGAAGTTACAACAAAGAATTGAACTGTCCAAGAAATTAATTGCAACAGTTCTGCCCCTTAAAGGCATGACTTATATGAAGATTTAGTCTGTCCAGAAAATTGCCTTTTTTTCTTATCTTAGAAAAGCCCCCACAAACCAAACCTATGTAGAGTTTTAAGTTGCAGAGTCCTTCCCACCCTCTTCTGAACGCAATTCTGAACAAGGTGAATAATATAAACTCATATTTACACTTTTATCTTTAGGCTGTGGGAAATAAGCTAGCATTTTATCAAGGTGACAAATGTTCAAATGTTTTGTTTGTTAGGAACAGGTACAAAAGGTTGAATTGGCAGACACACTGTAAAAAATACACAGCTATCAATATCTTCTGACCAATTCCCTTCTCTTCCCTTTTTAAAATTTTCCATTTGTCCCTCAATTGTCGTTCAGATACCAATGTTCCATGCAAAAATTCTACCATTGCCTCTATTGATTGCTATTTAGCATGAAAAAAAAACATTAGCTGAGGGAGACACTGAAGACAACCAAGAAAGGACTATTGGCTCATGATCCTTAAAGAAAATGCTGCATCACAGACCAATTTGACAGCAATTTCTCCACTACTTCATCTAGGGTTTTACAGTCTTGTGGCAAGCTTCAGATGAAAAGCCGTGCATGTAGTCCTGCGCATACATTATTATTCAGAATTACAAAATGGCAAAGTAAGTTTTTAGAGAAAAATTAATTGCTTACAAAAATGCCTGACACCGCTACTTTAGTACTTCTCTGGACTAAAGCAATAAGCTCACAGGCACACTAACTGGGGATGTGGCCTTGCCTTGTGAACAAATACAGGGAAAACAAGGCAACTTAATCTGAAGCCAACACATAGAAACCCTGCAGTGAAGTAAGACAGCAGAAAAGGCAGAAACTTAAGATTTTCAAATAAAGAAAACACTCAACACCAACAAAGACTTCAAAGAGACAAATTCAAAGCTTTTACTCACAAAGTCATCTTCTCCTTCATTTAAGTTATAGTTAGGCAACATAGCTCCTTCCATCGCAGAACTCTTGAATACACCTTTTATTTTGTTGCCTATTCTGCTGATTCCAAATGATTCTCCTCTCTTCTGTGTGGTCCTAGGATTACAGAAGCCAGAGTTCACAACACGAGGCATATTATTACACTGCAGCTCAGCAGGCTGTTGCACATCATTTGTAGATAAGAGAAACAAATCTATAAACAAATAGCCAATATATTTACAATTCCACTTAAACTGAAATTCATTTATGGCAAATTTGTTCTCCCATTGATCAGCAAAATTTCTGGATTACGCTTTTAAGAGATGGGATTTCCATATGCTTAACCCTGAGCAAACATCAACACTCTATAATAGTAACCCAGTAATGCAGGACATAGAATAAACAATTAACTATGCAAAACAGTTTTGTTTTGACAGTAGAAACTGTCATATTGCTACAGGCACACACACCAAGAAGGTCACTAACTCTGTCCTTTTCCATGTACTCATTTTTAAATATTTATCCACTCTTGCCAAGTACTGTAAATGGTGTAGTTAGATGCATTCTCTTCACATAAACATCCTAGAATTTTACAAGCATGTATGATTCAAGATAAATCTTGATTTTTAAGCATTAGGGACAGACAAAAGAAATGTGCAAGGAGCAAGACTTAAGCATGAGGGAAAACAGATGCAACTGAAGAATCTTGGCTTGAATAGCCAATCTGACTGAAAGATGAATTTAAAGTCTTGCCACTTCTGACAAAGCATCCAAAAAGCAACGAGGTATGGAAAAAGAAAGATACTGGGCAGGAAGCGCACTCCTTACTGAGAGAATAGATTTTACAGCATTCTTATGCCCTTACACAAGGCCTGACAGCAAAGATTATTTCTTATGTAGAAATGCTAGTAATTCTGGAAATAAAAATGTTTCTGTTAAGTATGGAATCAGCCTGAGGTTACTTAGTTAATTCAATAAATACAGTTGATAGGCGAGTTAAAAACCAATGCAGTGAACTGCAAAATCAAAGACTCAGAAATACTGTATAGATTAAAAGCACAATTAGTACTTTAGAGGACAAAAAAATATCCCAAGTGTTTCTTTTTACTTTCAAACTATTAACTACCGAACAGTAGTGCCAACAGAACAGCAGAGACCAGCAAGTAGTGCGTCTTCATCACCCATAAAACCATGCTGACAACATTGACTGCTGACTCAAAATGTGCATGCACATGTTACTAACCATCTTCCTGTTTATAATTTTACCCAGACTGTATACGTAACTAAAATTGCGTAAATAACCCGATGTTTTTCCAAATCATTTGCTTTTTCTATCTCATATTACTATCAGTGCCAAAGCAGACGGGCATCATCTATCTTACTTATCTCTGCTAAACAAAGATAAGGTTCCTTGTCTACTTGTAGTCTAAATGCATGTTCGAACAATTCTACTCGATTTTTAAACAATTTCTTCTGCATGTTACTGCGCTGAACTGAACTTTTTCACATTGGGGACCTACCTGAATCTTGTTCAAGAGCTTAAACACTAGGCTAGCAAAATACAAACCTTAAGACAAAATTAGATAGCTTTTCTAGAAGGGTAATACTTCAGACCTCTGGCTTGACTCGAAGTTTTCATCATTGCTGTGAAAACTTGTGCAGTATTTGAGATTTTGAGCAAAAACATTAATTTGCACAAGCTTAAAGATTTGATAAAAGCACTCCAGGTTCAAATCTCTTCTGATCATGCTCCAGCTGATGGCAGAATACAGTTTTGCAGTAACTGCAGTACTGAGCTGTATGAGGCCAGAACTCAACCTGATAGCTAGGAATCACCCCTTCCTGCCCTAATGCTGAGCCCAAAGATCACACCTAATGAGTACAGAGCAATCACTAAACTGGAAACGGTATAAAGTAACAAACTAGGACGGGATTGTCTTCACAGGAAAAGATACAAATTCAGAACACAAACCGGGTACGTAGACACATGGTGGACAACACATGGAGAGAACACAGGACTGGTTTGGCAAAAATCCTTGAGTGAGCACACAGAGCATAAACCAGATTAGATGGCATGGAAAAAAAATCTGTGGATGTTAGCAGAGATGGACAGACAACACGATGATCAAAATTCTGAAGAAGCTAAGCAAGACAAAAAAAAAATACAAAAAACCTCAAGTATCAGGATGAAAATCTAATCGATTCACTGGCTAAATAGAAATACGGGAAGAACTTGAGGCTAGGTAGAAGCAAAGAGATGGGACTTGGGTATGGTCAGGTTCAAGGCATGAGGGAAAAAAGAGGAGAAGAGGTGGCCAGTTTAGAATAGAGATCAAGTCTTTCAAGACCAGTCAATTCTGCTACTGTCAACGAATATAAATACACAACTCATTGGGAAGAGCATTCCCCTCCCTCTAGTGCTGATTCACATAACAGCATTATTAAATGGTCATTCTATAGTTGCTTTCTTGGCACGGCTCTGAGCGGAGAGCCTACAGGTTCCAACACTCCCAATGAATGATGTGATGGCAAGAGGTTGGAAGACTTTTTTTTTTTTTTTAAAACTCCAGAAGTCACGCATACGTAACATTAAAAAATTAGAACTGCATTCACTCTATAGCTGGGAAATGCAGACCAAAGATTGCATTAGTGCCACTGTAGCATTCTTTAATCGTGGATGGGTGCAAAATAACTTTCCCCCAGGGTCCCTGCCTCATTCAGTGCACTGAACTGGTTTCACAAGTGATCAGTCAGGGGTATGCAGCTGAAGAATGCTGTTGTGAACCTGTGCGGGTCAAGAAGTACCAGACAAGTCGTATGTATCAGACAAGCTAGGTATTTACATGGATGTGAAGTCAGAGTACTGTTTTCTTTTGGCTGACTAAAACCCCTACACCCAATTAGGAGAAATGCTGAGAGCATAGAGCTGCACTTCAAAAAAATAACTGAACTGCACTTGATATCTCAAGTATTTCTTATTGCTCAACACTCTAGCAAGTTATAACTCAATACATCAATAAAAAGCGTGTATACATCTTGAATCCTAACCTGCAAAATGAAGTTGATAATGTTCCCTCAGGACTCAAGAATGGTTCAAATTCTAAGGAAAAGCCCATAATAAAAAAATTGTTTTCTGAGTTTGGATAGCACGTATTTAAAGAGGCACGAATAATGACAAAACAAACCACTGAACAGCTATTAAGACATTAATGAGGGATCACGGACTACTTACAGCAAATTATAAAAAATACCATATGTTGTAATTAAATCTATAACAGCCAAAAGAAAAGCTGCAGAGAGAACTAATTTAGGGAATTGCTGGGTTTGAGTGTTTGATAATATTCATCAAACAGATATTTGCATGCAATGTTAGGCAATGATCATCCTGGACACAGCTGTGCAAGATAACACAAGCAGTTACATGGATAAAACCTCAAACAGGATCTGGAAATGTGACATGAGTAAAGGAAATTTTGGAGCAGCTAGCAGTCACAGGACAAAAAAAAAAGCTTCAAGTAACACAAATATATTTCAAAACTACAAAACTAAAACCAACAGACAAATCGTTAACAGTAAACAATATTAATATATCGCAAACTTGTGAAATTAGTAATTAAGCAATTTCTAAACACTGGTGAAGAGGACATAGAGTAAAGCTTATTGTGAGGAGAAATGCAGTTTAGTCCAGTGAAGACATTCACATTTTCACAAATAAAATGGACAGTTAATTGCTGTTATAAAGGCTGTATGATGCTGTCATGATAGATGCAGCGTAACCAAGACACAACATTTATTGAGTGTTAGATAGACTTACCGGAAGTCATCCAAACTCAGGCTACTTCTGCAACAACAGGCACATAAATTACCTCAGAGCCCAGGAGAAAATAATGTTAAAAGAAAAAAAAAAGCCAACCAAACTTGACAGACCTGTCTCAACAAAACTGAATAGGCTTCAACCATCACTACAGATTAATTAGTTTCCAATCTAAAATCCTAAGAAAGAGAAATGCAAACTGTACCTGCACATTTCATCATCACAATCTTGGCCTTTGAATTTAAAACCTCAGTTTTTGAGACTTTCAGGTTTTCACTAACTTTCAGCACAAGCAGCTATCAATTTATAGAGAACAACTTTCATTCTCGAAGTTACCTGTAGCACCAAACAGGCAGCTTTTTCTATAACCTAAGTTCAGAAGTCATGTAGGAATCTAGTTCATTCAGCCAATACAAAGAAAAGGCTGTAGACTTATTTTTAATAACACCACTCCACGCCCCCTTGTATTAGATATAGTAAAAAACACTATTAAGATATCTTTTTCTTCCTATTATTATTTCACAGATTTTAAGAACTGTCATGTATTTTTGATATTCTACATGACCTGGTACATGGAATCAATGCCTCAGCCATCAACTCAGTAATTCCAATCAAGATGTTTAAATAGATTAACCATAAACATGCTGACTACACACATGACTTCAATTCACTAGAGCTAATGAATTTTGGACAAACTTATATGAGATTAAAATATTCAAATTTTAGATTTTGTTTTACAAGAGAAATTTATTCTAAGGCATCTTAACACTGTCTTTAGTCATGTTAACTGTGAAACGGGAAACATCCTACCAAGTTGGAACTGAAGGTGACAAACAATCACATTGTGTACAACTGTTTGCAGATTTAATTCTGTGGGTTTTACTCCTAACTACTCCCCAAAATTGTTAATATTCTTCTTGTTTTAATTTTATTGCTATCCCAATGATTAGAAATCAGGATGTGTCTATTTCTATATGTGGTCATGGTGTGTAGAAAATCAAGGCAGATATACAGCTATCCAGGAATCTGGCAGTTTATATCACATAATGGCTTTTCTTTTTTTGTAGGACTTCCAACACGGAATACCTTTAAGTATTGTAGTAATGTATTATAAATACATAAATATGAGAAGGGAGAGAGAATTCTTGTCCTCTCTTCCATACACCCAAAATTAAGTCGCCAGAATTGAAACTTAAAACACTAGTTTTCATTGGCCGCATACATTAAGCATTGGGTGGAAAATACTGTTGACAACCACTGCTAGTTATCAAGTCATCAGATTATCCTCAGTGTGACTTCTTTACACCCTAGAAATACTTGGGACTTCTCATCTCTCATCTATTTCATAGATTTCATTTCATAGATTTCTAGGTTGGAAAAGACCTTAGAGATCATCGAGTCCAACCATTCCTAATCCCCATTAAACCATATGCTCAAGTAGATCATCCACCCTATTCTTAAACACATCCAGAGATGGGGACTCAACCACCTCCCTGGGCAGCCTATTCCAGTGGCTGACAACCCTTTCAGAGAAGAAATACTTCCTAACATCCAACCTGAATCTCCCCTGACTAAGCTTATACCCATTTCCTCTTGTTCTATCACCCAACACTAATGTAAAGAGCCCTTCCCTCACCTCCCCACCATCTTTTTTCAAGTATTTGTAGGCTGTAATCAGGTCTCCCCTCAGCCTCCTCTTCTCCAGGCTAAACAGCCCAACTCCCTCAGCCGCTCCTCATAAGTTTTATTTTCCAGCCCCTTGATTCATAGATTCATAGATTAATAGATTTCTAGGTTGGAAAAGACCTTAGAGATCATCAAGTCCAATCATCCCTAATCCCCATTAAACCATATCCTCAAGTAGATCATCAAAAAAACTAGATCATCAACTAAACTTGACCAGTTTAGTCGCCCTTCTTCGGACTCGCTCCAGGAGCTCAATATCTCTCTTAAAGCGAGGGGCCCAAAACTGGACACAATATTCCAGGTGCGGCCTCACCAGTGCCGAGTACAGGGGCAGGATCACTTCCCTGCTCCTGCTGGTCACACTATTCTTGATACACGCCAGTATCCCATTGGCCTTTTTGGCCACCTGGGCACACTGCT